GAGAGAGAGAGAAGGGAACCAAGCAGAGAAATCAAGCAAAACAAACAAGGCTAAGCAAGGCAAGCACCCTTTCTGATCGTGTACTTGGGAAAGACCGGTACAGCTGATAGGGAAATCGTTTTGCAAACGTTTACGAGCTGTTGAAACACCCCGTACTTGGGAAAGGGAGGAGGAGGAGGAGGAGGAGGAGGAGGAGGAGGAGGAGGAGGAGGAGGAGGAGGAGGAGGAGGAGGAGGAGGAGGAGGAAGAGGAGGAGGAAGAGGAGGAGGAGGAGGAGGAAGAGGAGGAGGAGAGGAGGAGGAGAGGAGGAGGAGGAGAGGAGGAGGAGAGAAGAGGAGGAGGAGGAGGAGGAGGGAGAGGGACATGGAGAAGAAGAGAAGGAGAGAAGGAGGGGGGCAGTGACAGAGAGAAGAGAAGAAGAGAAGAGAGGGAGGGAGGGAGGGAAAGGAGAGGAGACGAGAAGGAGGAGGAGGTAGGGAGGAGGGACAGAAAGAAGAGAAGGGGGAGGGGGGGGTTAGGGACTGGGCCAGTGAGAATCGAAAAAGAGAAGGGGGAGGGAAGGGGAAGGAGAGGAGAAGAAGGAGAGAGAGAGAGGAGATGGAGAGGGGGCAGGGCCAGGGGGAAGAGAAGAGGGGAAGGGGGGAGGAGAAGAGAAGAAGCGAGGGAGAGAAGAAGGGGGGAGGAACGGAAAGAGGTAGGGAGAAGAGAAGGAGAGAAGGGGGGAGGAGAGGAGAAGAAGAGGAGAAAGAAAAGGAAAGGGAGAGGGGAAGGAAGAGGGAGTAGGGGGAGTTACAGCACACAAGGAGGGAGGGCGAAGAGGGGAAAGGGAAGGAGAGGAGAGAGGAGGAGCAGAAGAAGGAGAGGAGAGAAGGGGTGGAAGGGTAAGAAGAGAAGAAGAGAGAAAGGGAAGGAAGGGAGAAGGGGAGGATATGGGGGGGAAGGGGGAATGAGGGGATGGGAAGGAGGTGATGAAAAGGAGAGGGAAGGGAAAGTAAGAGGGATGGAGAGGAAGTGAGAAGGTGAAGAGCAAGCAAGCAAGCAAGCAAGCAAGCAAGCAAGCAAGCAAGCAAGCAAGCAAGCAAGCAAGCAAGCAAGCAAGCAAGCAAGCAAGCAAGCAAGCAAGCAAGCAAGCAAGCAAGCAAGCAAGCAAGCAAGCAAGCAAGCAAGCAAGCAAGCAAGCAAGCAAGCAAGCAAGCAAGCAAGCAAGCAAGCAAGCAAGCAAGCAAGCAAGCAAGCAAGCAAGCAAGCAAGCAAGCAAGCACCCTTTCTGATCGTGTACTTGGGAAAGACCGGTACAGCTGATAGGGAAATCGTTTTGCAAACGTTTACGAGCTGTTGAAACACCCGTACTTGGGAAAGGGAGGAGGAGGAGGAGAAGGAGGAGGAGGTAGGGAGGAGGGACAGAAAGAAGAGAAGGGGGAGGGAAGGGGAAGGAGAGGAGAAGAAGGAGAGAGAGAGAGAGAGAGAGAGAGAAGGGAACCAAGCAGAGAAATCAAGCAAAACAAACAAGGCTAAGCAAGGCAAGAAGAAGGGAAAAAGAGGAAGGATAGATGTTTATTTACGCATGCATGCATGTAATATTATGCACACACACACACACACACACACACACACACACACAACACACACACACACACACACACACACACACACACACACACACACACACACACTCACACACACACACGCAGACATATATATATATATATATATATATATATATATATATATATATATATATATATATATATATAATGATATTTCGCCTTCTACACTCCCACCAGCATCTGCCGCAGCCTCCTGCCCTCTGCATTCCCAAGATTATGCAACAAACAACGCTTAAGTGCAATAACCGTAATGGAAGCGTCATCACCACACCCCGCGACGCCTTCAGCTAAAATAACTCTGCCATTTGCAAACCGAGGAATCAGCAAAGAGTGATAAACAAGCGAACACTGGTAATGGCTATGGTCGTTCCAGGGGCATTGATGATAACGTTTCGTTGATGAAGTTAGAATTACTATCTTCATAAATTGATTATTCACTGATCAAAAAAAAACTGTAATAATAAGTAAAATAAAAAATAAACATTTGACCTTTGTCTAACGAGCGAACGAGAATCGAGTTATGCGATTTATAATTTGCATAATTAATACTCACCATTATGGATTTGATCAAACAAACAATTGGAATGATAACCAATGAAGATATTATTGGCTGATAAAGAAGACGAATGAAATTAACAAAAAAAAAAAAAAAAAAAAAAAAAAAAAAAAAAAAAAAAAAAAAAAAAAAAGAAAACGCTTTAACAATCTACAAGCTCAAAAAACGAACCTGTTAACCCACAGCCATAATTCATAACACTAAACGTACCAAACCAAATTCAAAGGAACGCAAATAAACAAAGAAAACGTCATAGGGTCATTAAGCAATTGCTTTTTTATATAATCACTGTCTCATATTATCAGTAAGATCATGAAACAAAGAACGTTTGACTAAA